GCATGTACTTGTAAACCTAGCTCCCGATAGCACCATGATTAATACTCTGACGATCCGTTCAGGTAAGTAAAGATTCACTCCTTTGTGCTGGGGAAATGATAGAGAGCTACATCCTCTGGCAGGCTTATGCTGAACAATTTCACTTCTTAGTTTTGAACTGTAGGGCCAGACTGAAGCTTTGACTTTTACATAAGCCAATCTTGTTTTTTCCAGTTCTGAGTAAGGGTCACTGGACCTGAAACGTTAACTCTGATTTCTCTTCACAGACGCTGCCAGACCTGTTGAGCTTTTCCAGCACTCTCTCTTTTTGTTTCTGATTTACAGCATCAGCAGTTCTTTCGGTTTTTATTTTGGTTTAGCCGTCATCAGTCTGCGTTGCTCTTACCGCGCATTTATTCTAAGCATTGTAAATACAGATTGCCACTATGGTCTAGAACACATTATAGCTTCTACATACCAAACAAGGAACATCAGTTTGTCCAACGTGGCAGTTAATAAATTCGTGTTATAAAGATTCATTAAGTCCAGATGGAGTGAGGGGAATCAGCTTTCCTCTTTTGAACCCTCTATCTGTCAGTTGCAACAAATATTTTTATTTCTTCTGGCATACAACTGTATCACACTTCAATTAAAATTTAGTTGCTAGATCAAATTAATAATTTACAATGATTTATTAAGTGAAAGAGATATGAATTTATTATCCACTTAACCTTAAAATACATCAAAACATAAAAACAGGGATAAAAAGTTTAAAAGGAAGACTGGTACAGACTGTAAGATGAAAGGCTGCCCAGTTTTAAAGTTGTTAGAATCCTTGAAGTATCACATTTTTAATTTGAAACCATCGTTGTTTCATTATTGACTGATATCCTCAGCAGGGGCAAAGTTTGCAAATGCATTTATGAATTCTTGGTGAATTGTTGTTTCTCAAATTTCTTTTATGACTGGGTGCTGTCTTTCCAGATGATTAGAGACATAAGAAAAGGAAGGCCTCCCATCCTTACTTTTAACAGTCCATGTTCTTCTTCTCTGTTCTCCTGCTCAAAATCAGCTGTTGGAATATTGTTCAGTGTGTGCATTTGAGTCTGGCACCATTGTCTTTGCAAGCTGAATAACTGGTAGGTGAGCCTTTCATTGCTGAATATGTGAAATTATCATACATACGTGAATTAAAACACATATAGTATTTTCTTGATATTCGCCCAGGACAGGAATGTTCCTTCCCAGTCGGGGAATACTTCAGTGATCAAGGACATTCAGCATCCTCCAAGGCGGCCTTTGAGATACACAACCATGTAGAATCACTGAGCAGAAACTGTTAGCCAAGTTCTACAAAGGACAAAGAACAAAGAAAATTACAGCACAGGAACAGGCCTTCGCCCCTCCAAACCTGCACTGACATGCTGCCCGTCACAACTAAAACCCCCTACCCTTCTGGGGACTGTATCCCTCTATTCCCATCCTATTCATGTATTTGTCAAGATGCCCTTTAAAAGTCAATATAGTATCTGTTTCCACTACCTCCCCCGGCAGCGAGTTCCAGGCACCCACCGTCCTCTGTGTAAAAAATTGCCTCGTACATCACCTTTAAACCTTGCCCCTCACACCTTAAACCCATGGCCCCTGGTAACTGACTCTTCCACCCAGGGAAAAAACTTCTGACTCTCCACTCTTTCCATGCCCTTAATAATCTTGTAGACCTTTATCAGGTCGCCCCTCAACCTCTGTTGTTCCAGTGAGAACAACCCAAGTTTCTCCAACCTCTCATCATAACTAATGCCCTGTATTACCAGGCAACATCCTGGTAAATCTTTTCTGTACCCTCTCCAAAGCCATCACAACCTTCTGATAGTGTGGTGACCAGAATTGGACACAATATTCCAAATGCGGTCTAACTAAGGTTCTATAAAGCTTCAACATTACCTGGTAACTTGTAAACTCAATGCCCTGGCCAATAAAGGCAAGCATGCCATATGCCTTGTTGACAACCTTTTCCACTTGCGTTGTACACCCAATGCGCTTAAGGGTTCTGCCATTAACTGTACATTTTCGATGTTGATTAGACCTTACAAAATGCATTACCTCACATTTTTCCAGATTAAACTCCACCTGCCATCTCTCTGCCCAATTCACCAACTGATCTATAACCAGCTGTATCCTTTGACGGTCCTCATTGCTATCCGCATTTCCACCAACCTTTGTGTCATCAGCAAACTTACTAATCAGACCAGTTACATTTTCCTCCAAATCATTTATATGCTATGGAAAAAAGCAAAGGTCCCAACACTAATCCCTGAGGAACACCACTAGTCACAGCCCTCCATTCAGAAAAACACTCTTCCACTGCTACCCTCTGTCTTCTATGACTGAGCCCGTTTTTAATCCATCTTGCAAGCTCACCTCTGACCCCATGCAACTTTACCTTCTGTATCAGAATATTACCTGGTATCATGTGACTTCTGACTAGGTACAATGGTAATGTTAATGCAGATGGTTCTGTACCCATGAAGATGTGATCTTGGGTTCATGTCGCACTACATGTAACTCCACCACACTGTTCTCTACCTTACTGTCCTGTTTTGTCACCATCACCTGGATAAATTGTTATGTTCTCTCTACCTTAATTAGTTTGTACAGTTTTAGATTACTTATGACTTAGGTTAGACTCTTGGCATGTGACTCTTATTCCGATCATCTTCCAGTCTTTTGGTTTGTCTTTATTTTTAATTTTTTGTAATTATCTCTGCCTCATTTAATCAGATTATAGGTCATCCCTTCACTTGTTATTCAGCTGTTGACACTTTACTCACACTGTCTAACACTCCGGATCACCTGCAGGGACTTATTATACCACACTCCACTCACACCATTTGTATGATCTTTTGATCTGTCTGCTTTTGATCTCTCTGCCTGTAAATTCTGTGTCTATGTACTTCTCACTTACTTCACGTGTGATGAAGGGGCTATGCTTGGAAAGTCTAGTGATTTCAAACAAATCTGTTGGAACATTACCTGGTGTCGTGTGACTTCTGACTAGATACAATGGTACTGTTAGTGCAGATGGTTTCCTTTATTCAACGTGGATCTAAGGAAGGCTTTCTTAATGTGGTCAGGTGACATTTGCAGCCATTTTAGATCCATATTTCTTTTTTTTTAAAACATGCCCATGCAGGTTGCTGGATATAAAAATCACATGAAAGAAATTAAAATTCAACAGTCTATGTTTATTGCTATGGCAACAAAGTACATATTTGGGAAATGTAGAACAGATCTGATTGAACGTAAGGAATTCTTCAATCGGATATGCAACACTTGGATGACAGACTCACTAATACATTTGACAGCCTCATAACGTCTGCCTAAGTGATTCGCTTTTTTTTAGCAGAGACGTTCTCGTTTGGAGCGTCCTGATGGAACGTGTCAAATCTCAGAAGAAACACAGCGTAACATGAAAAGACGGAGATAACAGATTATTTCTAATCTTGTGATTAAAAGATGGTGTATAGACAAATCTACAACAAGTCAACCAAAAAGTTATTAGAATGTATGTTTAGCAAGCTTCCTTTGAGTTCCACACCAGATTAATGTCCATCACCCTCACGAACACGTTGAGTGTGATGTTCGGAGGGATCCACGTAAATAGATTTCCATAAACATCCATTGGGTAAGAAATCCTTTTCTTGCCAGTTTTTCTGGATTCCACACATAGCATAGCAAATATTAGGAAGCTCGATCTCTGTCAGCAAACTGAGCATGAATGCGCGACACGACCGTTACTGTCATGAAAATCCTGACTGAATTAACGTTTGGGTAGTGTACAATTAGATGGTGGAAATATCATAAAGCATGAAGATAAGAGAATACAGTAACTTTACTCTGTCATCTTCTAGCTTCTAATGCACACAGGATTTTGAGGGTGTTCTTCCATCTGGTGAACATACCGACAGGTTTTCAAGTTCGAGAAGTTAGCTCAATTGCTTACTATTTAAGAATGTTGAAGAATGCCCGTGTTTTATAATCTAGGTGGCACTTTAAGTAACGCGGCAAATTCACCAATATAATTGAGATAACTCGTTTTGCAATGAGGAATTATTAGTTGCCAGTCATAGAATCATGGAATGATTCGATCTATTCGGCCTGTCCCGACCCTGCCAGCTCTCTGCAAAAGCGACTGTATCTCCCCGGATGTTTAACTCAGTAGGCAAAACTAAGGTAGGTGCTGTAGACAACTGCCATTATAAATGTACACGTATGAATTTTGAATTAAAGTGATAAGAAAGCCCAGGCAGAAATGACACAATTTATCCAGTTATGTTGGGACGTTTGGGTGGATTGAGAAAGAAATCAAATATCCGAGTTTTGAGTGGGAAATTCCGGGAATTGAGTGCACATTCAGCAAGTTTCTTATTCAATTTCAGCAACTGGACTGTGGCATTAGACCAGACATTTACATGAGATTGGGAGACACTGGCGGGAGGTTATCTCGTTCTTGATAAAACTTGTGAGCAATTTAAGAACAGCAGGAACTAATCACACATTAGGTAACCACTAATGGATTCCCAAGTCATGAATGTTAGGAAGTAATGGAAGTTGGCAAGGCGATTAACACAAGCCACACGCGGTTTAAATGCTCCTGTTTTAAAGTATGCGGTGGTAGAAAGTCAAAGGCTGCAACACATTTCCTAAAAGTATTAAGGGATTACATTGCTGTAATAGAATACAGATAAATAGATTAAGGATATTACATTATATCACTCGATAGCCATTGGAAGAATAACTTCGTATCGGCTCTAATATCAATTTCACTATTTCGTTTGTATCTCGAAGATCAACAATCGCGTGCTTCGAAGTTTAGTCAAGGTGCCACTGAGTGCGACGACAATAACAAAAACACAGGTATTGACAGTTTAGAAATCTAGGCATAAATTAGTTTAATTGCAGAGACGGAGAGAGAATTGCAATGTCTTAATTGACAAATCCGCTGGTGTTCTTTTTTCCAGCCATCACTGGATTAGGTTGCAGATTGGTAATTAACTCTAGCAATCAACAATCCTTGGTACGTTCTTTAATTGACACAAAACAAAGGGAGGTCATCAGTTCCTCTGGGCCCAGGCTCAAACCAATCCGAGAATCTCCATGAAGCCGTTTTATGGAAGCCTAAATCTGAAACTTCGGAAATGATCGGGACTGGACGAGTTTACTTGAACCAACACGTATGACAAACTTTATCTTATTTTTAGAAAGTGATTTAAATTTATTTTGTCTATTTTTGTGAAGTGACGCGTAGTTAAGTGATTGATACTGGAGACATAACCGTTTCTGTCAATGTGGCACTGTTAAGAGTCACATTTCAGACGGACTGGCTCGATTGTTTTGCATCGGATCATTTTAAAGAATTTTAATTTAATTTTATGAATCAGTTTCCTTTTAAAGAGCAACACGGATGAGATGGTCACTAAAAACAGAAAAGGAAAGTTCTTGGAGAATCCTGATCATTCCAAATCACAAATAACTCGACATAAATCTATAACCGACATCTGCACCTATTTCTCATGGTTTTATAAACAGCGTTAGAGCAGTCACACTACTATTGCGAGATCGAACGAACTGGGTGATAGTTACAATAATATCTGATAAGATTCCCTTATCATGTGAAGTACTAACTTCCGTTTCAATTAAAATTCCTCAGTTAAAATTAATGGTGGTGTCATGATAGCTTCTGACAGAGTGCATCAGGCTTCCTGTAATAGCTGCGTCTGTGCCGACAGTTTTCAGACAGTTACTGGTGTCCCCATTATCTCAGGATTTCATCTTGCCAATTTAAATCAAGCCTCGCAAATTCACTGAACGGGAACCAGCTTCGGCACACACATGCGACACTTTTAAAGGACATGCATGGAGCTTGGATTTTATGTCACTTACGCCCCAACATCTATTTAATATGCCGCCTTGTTTCAGTTGCATCCTTTCTTAAATCTTATAATTTGTGTTTATATGTTAGTAAACATCGACATCCCGTTTCTCGAATTAGTTTAAGTTGCTCGCAGAGTTTTTTCCTGTAACATTTTAAAAGAAATGATCAAAGCTCACTATATTTCTTGCTCATGTAGAATATTTGTTTTTTTACATGTGGCATTGGTGTGTTTTTAGCTTTTACGTTCCTGGACGCTGATGCTAACGACAGGAGCAGCCTCGAGCCGCTTCCCCGGATGTATCTACCTTTTACAAAACATCAAGTCTTTTGGTATGTCAATCCACTCACTGTTTAGAATTAAGATGGATTTATTAATTCGTTTGTGTTCGGCGAAAGCGTCATTCCCGTGAGCTAAACGATTAAAATGTTTTAAGGAGAAAACGCAAGAATAAATTCCTCTGGGAGTCCCTGTTATGAATAAATATTGTGCGTGGGATTTCCACAGAAGTATTATTAGCGCGTTTTACACAAAACTTGTGTGAGTGGGGTCAGGATGGTTATCAATGAAAACCCTCTACAATAAGACTTAAAAATACACTGTTGTGTCAAAATTGTACCACATACTATAAACAGTGCGAAATCCAACTGGGGCGAATAAACAATAACTTCAGTGACTGACAGTATTCAAAACGAATGCACAATTTTTATTGCTGTTTCCAACATTCAACGTTAAACCGCATTGTGTTTATGGTGCTCACCTACTACAACTAGGAGATGGGAGTCCAGTGTTTGACCGAGTGATAAATGTAGGTTGGCACTTTCAAGACTACTGTATCAACAACTAGGCTGCTTTGGAGCAATAATTGCTGAGAAAGCAAACACAGATTGAAGTGTTATTGCGCTGCTTTTTGTCAAACTGATTGATGCTCTTCCCATTAAGTACAAGGAATCGGTCCATTTCCGGGTCATTTTTACTATGGCCGCTTCCTGAGAAAGGAGGATGCGGGGGAGGGGGTGGGAGTGACACAAATCAGAAGTATTGCTGTGGGAGCACCGTGAATTTGACCCGTTCGGCATTAAAAGCGTAATATATAGCAAGGTAATATACCTCGGTCATTTAACCTCGCAAAAATAACCGGTGTCAAAATGAAAATCATACCTAAGTGGAAAAAAAAGGAAACGAATTGGCTGCAGCTAATGTGGTTCTCCGGCGAATCTTCACATTTGTCGCAATGAAAACATGATAGGCGCTGAACTGGAGGATACAGACTTCCATACAAATGATCTACGGTTCATGCTTCCGATGAATTCATCAATACAAAACTATAGTACAAGTAATTAATACGCTTAATGAGAGTTAAATTTGGATTAAAACACACACACACAAATTCCGAATGAGTTGCGTGAGATAATCTTTGGTTGAAATGATGAACACATATATCTCTGTTTTGGGATATGGGCTGTGCAGTGTCATGTACAGTTATGATTTACAAGAGAGAATGTTAGAGTTAGTATTGTATTTGTGTGCTGCGGTACATAGCATAGCGGTTGTGTTACTGTAACAGTAATCTGGTAGATACGTGTTACTAGCCTTATTATAATTTGTTAATTGAATTCAATTGATTAAATAATTCACGATAAAAATGACTGGACAGTACTCTGGTGAGACGATCATCTGGATATATTTGGTCAGTGTAATAGCTCAGAAACGTTATAAAGACAACTGCATTAAATCTGGGGATTAGTGATAGATGTGGAATTATAAAACTATTTCCAATAATGTAAACACAGCAGTAAAACATATTCACGCAGGGTCAAAGTACAACTCAATCCCCGTATTACATTACAATGTTGGACGCCAATCTGTACAATCAAGAGAAAACGGTTGCGTCAAAATCTCATCGAAAAGGGTGAAAGATGCCACAAACTGAATTTTTTAAAAATACATACACCACACAAATTAATATTTGAGTACTTCCTTTTTACAAAAAATGAGTTAACCAAAAATCATATATCTCAGATACAATCGTCTTGTAAAAACCCCTTTTATTATAGACTCGTTTTTACCAATGTGATTTATGTTGCATATAGCTTCTGACACATAGGGAAAGCAACTACCATCTTTGGCCCACAGGCAAAATGCGCATGGGACAAAAGCAATTTAACCCTTAGTACCAAGTTGATAGTTTATAACGCATGTGTTGTCTACACTTTGTGTGGCTATGAGAACTTACGATTACAAGGAAAATGAGATCAACGTTTTGTGTCGTAACTGTCTACAGTGTATTGTGTGTTACCCCTGTTAGGAAAAACCTCACAAGTGAACTCAAAGGTAGAGTTCCCACGTGTGTTGGAGCGAATGAAACAACCGTCACTGGTAGATTGAGCAGGTCCACAGGATGGAAGATGGTCACATGTCTGGGACCTTCTGCATAGGGAAGTAGCAGGAGCCAGATGATTAGAGAGTACGCAAGGATCTGCCTCAATGATGGTTGCAGGCACCGTGTGAGGCCCTAATCATTTATCATCATGCCAGAGTCACTAGCTAAAAGTAAAAGGGGAAAAGGTGACACTTCTTGGACTGTCATGGCTAGTGGCTACAGTGGCTTGGTAACACATACCCATAGAATCACTTGGCAGCTTCAAGTACCAGGCTGGTGGCAGAAGCTGCTTCTCCGGATTGCCCACCACAGCCATGAGCAAAAAATACGCCAAATGAACATACTACTACGCCACTCCATCCGCCTCAATGGATTGTTTACTGTGACCATAAGACTATAAGACACAGGAGCAGAAACTAGGCCATTCGGTTCATCGAGTCTGCTCCGCCATTCAATCATGGCTGATAAGTTCCTTAACCCCATTCTCCCGCTTTCTCCCCATAACCCTTGATCCCCTTGATAATCAAGAATCTATCTATCTCTGTCTTAAATGTGCTCAATGTACTGTGTGCCCATCATCTCTAGTAGGTGGACGGATGATGACATTATAAATACAAAACTAAAACTAAGCCGTTGATGTGTGCACGTTGGTTAATTTCCCTTACCACAGTGACATATAGGTGCTTCATCCAAACCTAACATAGAAACCATCAGTGCAGGACGGCGAGAATGTGAGCTTTGGTGAAATATTGAGAAACAACTTCGTTATATATACTGCACAGTTTCATTGCTCTCTATAATGTAGAAGAGCGTTGCTTCATGAACTGTACGAAAAACAAAGCTCTATGTACAATAATTCACCATAGTTGGTACTTTTCAATTACATTTTTCGCATAAAAGAAACGAAACTCTAAAACACAAATTTAGGAGAAGCGCAGATTTTCTTTTGCTGCGCAGTCAATTCCATGAACCTAATAATTTAACAAATAATTCTTACTGGAAGTCCCATCAGTGCGTGCCTTTTTATTTGTAGCTCTTAAAAGAACAGATAGTCTTTTGTTTTAAACTTCCTGTGCTGTGCGGTGTATTAGCTCCAGCCTCTGAAATCTGTCTTGGTATTTTATCTCATCTGTTACACTGTCCTTAATAGCAACAAAGAAAGACGCCACACGCATTAGGACCCAGACTGCCGGCTTTCCGCACTCTTCACTGAGTGCCAATCACTTGGCTAAAAATTGCACTCTTCTACACTCTTTACAAAAGAGTTCGAAAACAGAACGAACTGATTACAACAGTTAAAACGTGAGGTCCTTGTTGCATACATTACCCAGGAGGTCAAACATATGATGGGCGATTGTCTTCTGTACAACCACTCGTTGATTATTTTCTCAGTAACAGTTCGTTGATTTATTTCTCTTTCGGGGTTTACATGAATCATTTGGATTGTCGAAAGGATATTCACTATCTAATGCACATGTAATATAAATCTGTGTAGAATAAAAATTAGAACATGAACATGCAAACACCAATTTTCGAAGTGTTTGACCATTGTTTATTTATGTTTTGTTTACCAGAGGGATTTGCTACATCTCTGAGGATCAAGAGGACAATAATGGCTGAAGAAATAGCGAGTGAAGTCCCCAGAGCTGAGCCACCAACTATTCCAACTTCGAATTTTCTTGTAAACCTATGCAGAATACTCTTTGTTAGAACATTCGTGAGTTGGAACACTTTGCACATAATTGTCTCCAGTCATTAAAAACAGAACAAGTCTCGTTTTATGGGACGAATCCGTGACTATTAATTGTCCTAAAGTAACTCCAGACAATTTTAAAAAATTATATCAGTTTATGTTTGTCTTAGTGAACTATACTTGGTTGACAGAAACGGGGAGATTATTCGCATTATCAGAAACTGCTCGCTCCAGATGCTTTCTTACTGAGAACGTATCACGGTAAACGGCAAAGGGCCAGTACCGTGAAAGGAATTGAAGCAAAATTACATTTATAGTTAAAGGATTCTAAATTGATATCCGTTGCGTATATGAAACTCTATTTTCAAGCACTTTATTTTAAATAATTGATTTTACCGATTTATGGAACAGCCAAGTAAAAAAAAGGACGGTAGAATATTTAAAATAATAACTCCGGATGTTGCAGCAATTAAACATGACTGGATTGTTAAAAGATGAAATATTAACGAATCGAAGTTGGATTGGGATGCAAGGCAATTATACTAATACAGCCCGAACGCCTTTACTAGCTTCCACTTGTAATGATTGAAAACATGTGCCGGACTGGCACTAAATAGTGAAGGGGTTAAAATCTTCGCATAGTGATTTAAATCGATTAAGAATAACTGTGCCCGAAAGTGTATAAGCTTGAAGTAAACTCATTTTCAGGATCTGTTTTCCTATAAATAAAACTCGTTACAGAAAAAAAAATTCTTTCTGCGCCAATATTTTAAATTACAGCATGGCGATGAAACAACACGCGAGTGGTTTTCAGGACAAATTTAATTACAGTTTCGGAATTAATCTCGGAATTGCACTGACGCACATTGCAGAGACGGTTGGTATGAGTCTGCACCTGACTGACGGGTTACACTTGTCCAAAGCATCAAGAAGCTGTAACCTTCAAAGCCCAAGGAAAGCTTTTGAGCGTTCGGTTCTCTGGAGTTGTTTTGTAGACGGTGGACGATACGTAAGCTTTTCTTAACTATTTGGAGCTTGAAATTTATAGGTCTTTTACACCATTTGCTGCAATGGAAAAGAGATGACGAACGTTTAGTGATGATGCTAACAGACGCAAAATAAAATCCTTACCTTTCACGAGATATCTGGAGTCAATCAGCTTACTAGCTTCATTGTTTATGCAGTTCCATTACACTTAACAGAGTCCGACCTAGTTGTGTCCATATACCCGATCAGGATGTTGGGTCAAACGCGTAGGAAGATTAGTATTGAAGAAAGATGAATATACTCCCAGCAGATGTCTGAATACAGTTAGATTTGACTGATTAGTAGATTAATGTCGGGTTATCACATCGGTGCATGCGCGTGGGTCGGAAAAAAATTAAAATGTATGACTTTTTTCCCCTATCATTGTGATTCTATGTTTATGAATCAGATATAACAATATAATACTCAAACATTAGATAAAAATCACAATGTGACTTTCGTAATTCAGGTAAATAAATCACTATGAAAGAGTCAGAAATGTAACAACGGAACACAATGCTTTGTGATTGATCTACTAACAATTGGCTTTATCCAGATCTGTGACAATTAGTGCATGTAATAATGATCATTTGTGCAAACTTTAGAAAAAAATCTGAACTTTCTGCTTCTTTCCTTGTATGACTCATTATTTTGGTGGATATCTTGTTGGAAGTATGTGGGTATATAACCATATGCTTGTGTGTATGCTGTCAAATACAAATCCGAGCGATTGCTGTTACAGTGAGCTTTATTTATACTTGTTACAGACATATGTAGAATTTTCTCTACGTGATCGCTTTCACCAAGTAACTTGCTTTGAGAAGGTTTTTATTTATGTCTGGGTTTCTGTCATCATAACTTTATGATTTTTTCCCCCTTTAACTTGATGATAATGTTGTGTTCATTATTGTTGTAGTCATTATGGAATCCCGGGAGTAGAAATCAAACTGTGAGATGGAATTGCATAAAATGGTGTTTCTTTCACTTGCTGCAAATAGCTAAGGCTATTTCTTCAAAAATAGAGCTTACGTTGGTTAGTAAAGCTTGAAAATGATTTATTGGCATGATGCAACTGTGGAAATATAGAAATGCAGCCATGTGTTGTGTGATTTCATGAACAAAGCTAATCTAAACGTATTCTACAACAGATACTCACTTTGGATACCAACCTCTCCTGCTTATTCGAAATTGGTTACCAACCCATCTTCGAATGGAAATTGTTATGGTTTCTTATTTACTCTTGTCAAATGCCTCTGTTTCTAAACAGTAATAGTTCTCCCTGAAAGCTTCCCTGCTGAAAGGGGGAAAATGCAGCCTCACTACTATCAACAACTAAACAAAGTTCCTGATTGCTAATATCATTTTGGTAAATGACCTTTGCAACCTGTCCAAGACTTTGACATTTTTAAAGTGCAGCACCCAGATTTAGACGCAATACTCAAGCTAACTGGTAATTTATAATGTCTAGTGTATACTTTTTAATCTTTAGTACAGAAAAAATTCCATACATAGTGGTTATTTATCCAAATTTGAAGTTTGTGTATATTTTGTTTGGTTTCAATATAAGATGAATATAGTTTTAGTTTACTGCTTGGACCTAAAGTCAGTATTTAGTATATGCATTTTAATTTGTACTGATTTTTGTATTTTCAACTCAAGAATTATTTTGCAGCACAAAAGAAAGAATAACTATGCATTCTGAAGACACTGCTTTTGCAATGTCATGATGTTCCAAAGACAACCAATTAAGTACCTTTGAATTGTAGCCCCTGTTGTAATATAGAAAATTTAATAAATATTTATGCATAGCAAGGACCACAAACAAGAAAGCAATACTGATAATCATGTTAGCATCCACTAGAAAATGCAACGAGGTCCTCAGAGTAACAATTCATTGGACCATCAGAAATAAGTGTAGAAGTGCATCATTATTCAACTAGATCACTGTTGATTTTCCATCTCAACACCACATTCTCGGACCATTCCCACAACCCTTGATGTCTTTAGTATTTAAAAATCTATTGATTTTTGTCTTGAAAATACTCAATGACTGAGCTATCTGTGGGTAGAAAATTTTAAAGATTCACCATGGTTTGAGTGCAAAAAAATTTCTCATCAGTACCAAATAAGCTGCTCCTTATTTTGAGACCATGCCCCTTAGATCTAGACCCCAGCACAGAGAAATATTCTGCCTACATCAAACTGGTTGAGACCTATAAGCACAAACATGATTTCACTTTCACAAATTCATGCTGATTCTGCCTAATTCTTTATATTTTCTAAGTGTCCAGTTAGCACATCCTTTAAAATAACTTGCACATTTTCCTAATGTTAGGCTAACAGCTCTGCAGTTCTCTTTTTCTCTCTCCAGTCTTTCTCAAATAGTGAGATTATGTTTGCTACTTCCAATCTGCAGGAAACAATCCAGAATCAATAGCATATTGGAAGATAATCACAAAGGAATCCATTACATCCACAAAGGAATCAAGCATGTAAATAATCAAGTTCCGGGCATTGGATAGGAGAGAAATGAAATTCAATCGAATGGGATGTCAGAGAGGCTAGAAGTACAGCACTTTCCCTCTTTTACACCAAAAAAGTTAATGGGAGGTTTGAGAGAAGTGGTCAAAATTATAAAGGGCTTTGGTAAAATATATAAGGAGAAACTGTTTCCAAATGAGAGTGGGGTCAATAATCAAAAGATGTAGATTAAAGTAATTGACAAAATAACCTGAGGCAACGGGGAAATGTAACTTGTTCAGCAAGTCATTATGCTCTGGACAGCAAGGTTCCTCCAGGTACAATAGCAATGTCTCTGCCCGTGGGTCAGAACATTCAAGTCCCGCATGCTAGGGAGGTGTATCACAACATACCTGACAGGTCAATCATTTTTTTTTACTTTATTGTGGACTGCAGTGCCTGAAACAATAGCAGAAACAGTTTCATTAATAACTTTCAAAAGATAAACATAAATACTTGAATGTTGTGACTTCCTAAGGGTCTAGAAACAGAGAGTAGAGTATGGGGTTCATTAGATTAGTGGGCATAATGAACATATTTGTTTCCTCTCCACCTATCCTCTCCTCTATCCCTCTTCTATCCGCCTCCCACTCTCTCCCTATTTATTTCAAAACCCCCTTCCCCTCCCCCTTTTCTGATGAAGGGTCTAGGCCCGAAACGTCAGCCTCTCTGCTCCTATGATGCTGCTTGGCCTGCTGTGTTCATCCAGCCCTGCACCTTGTTGTCTCATAAGAAAACAGAAGACCATTTTAGTGCCATAGTTTTATGAGTTCGTGTTAATAGTTGTTTTATTCAATTACCTTTGCAAGTTTCTGAATTGTCCTCAATTTCCCTTAATTATATTGGCAACTCTCTAAAATTGAGATTGCCGCAGAAGATTAAAGTCCCACTCCACTATTCGCCTAGCCCTAGTCCGAAAAAGCTTTTGGCATTGTGCTTACGATAACCTGATTTGAGAAGAATCATTGCCCTGCCTATTCAAGTCACTACACACTTTCTACAACATACTATTGGCATAGGAACGGCTGAGTGTAGAAATTGTGTTCTCTCCATGTAAATTGACATTCTAATTGCATTCAAAAAGTGTTTGCCATATCTCCACGCCTGATGGTGATAAGAACCCTTCTGTCCCTCCGACATTCTGACGTATATTCTGTACATTTTCAATAGAAAATGTGTTGCTGATATTAGCAGACAAACCTCTGTACTTTTGCATTACATTCCTCTCTCCACTATTTTAGTAGAAACCGATTTAAAGTAGACGGATTAACACGTCGGTTGCAACAACGGGCGCAGCAATCTGCCTTGTTTGCCCCGAACATCACCACTATAAATTCTAGGCTGATACGTTTTCTACATGATTGTAGTTTACAGAAAATACACATTTACAGTAACTTATTTGTAGATTTTCCCTAAGACTGAATTAAACGATATGGTACTTGTTACATTGTGCAGCAAGTCGGGCTCTGCTGGGGGTTATGGCGTTCACAGACCATGCTAATGGTTAAATATTTTACACAGTTCATGCGCCTTAGATTCATTTCAAAAATGTACTGATATTTCGTGTAGGAGTGGACAATATCATGTCATATTCTTACATTTTACAGTATAGGTATTACCACGTTGTTCCAAAAAGAATAATAACATTACTGAACAAATGTTTTCATCACAACATTTTGTTGCAGGATCAACGTCGAACAGAAATGACCTTGCTGAGTGTTACCAGCATTTTCTATATTTATTATAAATGGTTGTGTTAACTGTTGTAGACTGCAGGGGGAACAATTTCAAAACCAGACAAGAAGGGGCATCTTGTTTACGTTTCTAATTCTGCGTTATTTCGTGGCGACAGACTTAAAAGAGTCTTAATTCTCCGACATGAAATATGTACTTAGATTTCGAAAGAAGGAGACAACGATAGGAATTTTAACATTAGGTGCCATTCGTGCCATCAAAGTACAAGTTTCATACATATTGCCTGTGATTTCCACACATGGGATGGCAGACTCCACCGGACAATGGGATTAAAAGAGAATCATCATTTGTCATCTGTCTTTAAGAAGACAACCACTGCAGTCAAGGTTCAGGGATGGGGTGTACTGTTTACTTTGATTATCATCTGTTAGTCGCCCATGGTTCGGCGCGCGGGTGATTCTTTCGCGTATTACACCAACTGCCGTTTGTAAAGGCGAATGATTTCGTTTACAGATTGTTTCCGTAGCCCTTGGTGAATGGTGCACTGTGAAGATTTGTAAAGGGCCAATACCTAAAATAAGAATTAAATTCTACGGATTATGGAAATCAGAAATGTAAACAAAAAGTGCTGGAGAAACTCAGCAGGTCTGGTAGTACCTGTGGAGATAGAGGAACAGAGTTAACGTTTTGAGTCCAATATGACTCGTCTTCAGAACCTAAACTTGTTTGGCTCGAGAGAGGAGCTAAAAGGTGATTTAAATATCTCTTTTATGTTGTAATAGAAGATTCATTGAAGATCAATTCTCAGATTAGCTGTGTCTGAACATGTAGTAATAAAATGAGTTTCAACTCCCGCTCAACACGTGATGGGCTTTAAATGAATAAAAATAAAGTACTGCCGGTGCTGTAAATCCGAAATCAACACAAAGTTCCACAAAAGCTTAGCAGGTATGGCAGCATCTGTATAAGGGTTCTGAGGAAGGATCGTATTGGACTCCATAAATTGGGCTGAATTTTTCTAAAAATCAACTGAGTCTTGTCTCTTTTAAGAGCGCTAACCAGTTACAGTTATCTCACCGCTGCTCACTTTACTGTGTATTGTCACACATGCACTATTATATGCTAACCTGCAGCGAAGTACTCTCTGCTGCTGGGGGTCTTTTTCGGATTCCCATGGCTGGTACTATGTTTAAATTCCAGCCGTGACCACTTCAAATGCTGCAAGTCCTTCGCAGGCCCAGGTCTGCCCAATAGAGACAAATTGGCACCTGATTCGCAAACAGGGCCTGGTGGAGGTGGTGGTGGAGAGGAAGGCTCTGAAGTTGCCACCCAGGTCCTTATGGTGTCTTCAGTGTGGAGGAAGGAGGTTTATGAACTGTAGTCCGAAGAATAGGTAACAGCTTCTCTCCGCTACCTCACTCTCACTGTCACTCTGCTAACTGCACCCTCCTCCAACCAAGGCTCATAAACCATTACTCCATGCGGCATTTTCTCTCAATTGCTCTCATTCATCTTCTCCACCCTGACTACTAACATTTACTGCCCTCTGTGCACCCTACTCACTTGCTGGGGACGCCTCACTATGTTTCCTCCACCTGTACCAACACTAACAGCCGTGCCAGCACTTGGATCTCGCTCAGTCCCACGTTTTGCCACGTTGCAGATGAAAAGGCCTATTATAGGATTGAAGGGGCCAGGACAGTTGATGGGATGTCCTGGCTCCATTATGAGGATAGAATCTTTGATTTCTTAGCAGAGAAGAAAGACTGCTCAGGTGTCTCTTTAAGGAGTGAATTTCATGCTCGGGCGATCAATCCAGATGATCCCGAAAAACTTGCATGTGTTTCAAACAAACGACCATGTCTGAATGTCCAGGAGGACCAGTCCTCAGTCGAACGCAGGGGTCAACAGTCATTCAGGGTGTGCCGCAACATTCAGTCTAGGGATTGTTCGATCTCAGTTCTGGGGTGATCGGTGTGAACTGGTTCCGCAGTTCGGTGTCCTTGCAGTCCTGGAGGTCTAGTGGGAAGAGTTCCGGTCTCAACTCCTCTTTCGTGCCAGCCCACTGTAGACC